TTACGACCGTTGTAAAAGCACCGCATGAGCCGGACACCTGTCTTTACTGGAAATTTAGGAATTATCTTTCGCATTTTTTTCAAAATTCAATTGGTGGGGAAGAAAATTTTTTTCTTTGAATTATTGTTAGATAGTTCCATAATCCATCAACCGAATCGGGATAAAAAACGACCAGATACCCAGCGTGCTAGAGGCGTCTAAAAATCACTGAATTGAGTAGAAATGAGGATTTTCATTTTGATAAGTAATAAGTTTTCTGTTGAAACAAAAATTAATTCTGTTCTTAAACCTCCCTCTGAACAGTTCACGGAGGGGAAACACCGAGGTATGTAATAATTGAGTCTTTAAAAAATTATTGACACATTCGATCTCTACAATGCGTGTAAAAGTCAATAAGAAATAAAACTACACGGCGCAACCTTGAAAAATGATTCAAAAATTTTAAAAAAATTCACATGTACTTTCCATGTCATTGGTTATCTTTATCAAACATGAAAATTATGAAATCCAATTTTTTTTTACATATGAGCCATCCTAATGTCCCTAAACGGCAGTGTGATGAAAATAGTATATGGGGTATTCCATGTGAACTCACCCAGGTCAAAACCCTCACTATCGTCAAGCATATTGCCGATTTTTCCTGTGGTTGTATATGGAAAAATATGACCTCAAATTTTTTCCGATTTTTTGAGGCATCCTGTGGGCAGCCATGTTTTTTTGCAAGTTTTATCTTCAAATGCCTGTAACTTCCGTAAAAATCGACCGATTTGAGTTTTTTTTTCACAAAATGTGCGTCTTCGAACATACTTTCCATGTGAAAATATGCCAATTTTTTTCAATTCGTTCTTCCATCGATTTCCTCAGACAAATCTCAAAAAACTTCAAAAAACGAGTCGTTTTCAAAGTTGGATCCTTTTTATATTTTTCAAAAAAATTTAGTGAATATATTGGACCAAAACAAAATTTTTCACTAAAGGCCAAAATGGACTTGCCATTTCGTGGCCGGCATTTCAAATTTGAATATATGAATCCGGGATGAAAAATTTCAAAAATTTCAAAATTCTTTTCGCATTTGAACGCAGAAGCATTATTTGAATTTACCGCCTAAAGAATCACTGCATTATATTTGAATCTGGAACAATTTGATGATTTTTTGAAAATTCGTTAACAATAAATCTTTTCGAGTGGTGTGTTCTAATAGAGACCCCACTATGGTTTTTGGTGAAAAATTTTATTTTGGTCCAATATATTCTCTGAAATTTTTTGAAAAATATAAAAAGGGTCCAACTTTGAAAACGACTCGTTTTTTGAAGTTTTTTGAGGTTTTTCTGAGGAAATCGAGGAAGAATGAATTGAAAATAATTGGCATATTTTTATATGGAAAGTGTATTCGAAGGCGCACATTTTGGAAAAAAAAATTCAAATCGGTTGTTTTTTACGGAAGTTACAGGCATTTGAAGATAAAACTTGCAAAAAAACATGACTGCCCACAGGATGCCTCAAAAAAGCGGAAAAAATTTGAGAAGTCATATTTTTCCATATACAACCACAGGAAAAATCGGCAATATGCTTGACGATGGTGAGGGTTTTGACCTGGGTGAGTTCACATGGAATACCCCATATGCATCTACGAATATGTATTGGCTTTACCTCGGGCAGTAATCCATACGTGGATTGAAATGTCCCGTTTTTATCCCTCATTGGAATTTGCGTGACACGAAATTTTTTACAGATTACTCAAGCACAAAACCGAATAACAATAACATTACAATCAAATTTACGTACTCTATTGCACGTTTATGCACCACCGCACAGCTCCTCAAGTAATAGAAACCCAAGTCGCTTCCCTCATTCTCCTCCTGCGGCGGGAGATTCTCAATGGCATATCTTTTAGAAAAAAAATGTTACTAATTTACAATTTATGTTCGTAAGAGTATCATGAACATATGGATACATATTACATCACCCTAATCCTTTGAATAACCCGCACGCATGTTCCGCATACATGAACAGTAGCACATCGCAGGAGCCCACCACCGTCATTACGAGAAATGTACAACAGGTGGACATGACGAAAAGGGGGTAGTAGTAGGTGTCGAGATCGAGGGAGCCGAAGTACATTGGCGTTGGAAATCGCTTTGGTATCGTGATATTGGGATAGAGCAGTGGGTATATCATTCGCTCCTGCAGAGGCTCCGTCGTGAAACTAACGGTACCCATATACACACCCACTAATAAATTATTCTTTGAATTTTTATAACGAAAATACGAGTGATACCTACGTGGAGAGACAAGTTGGATGAAAATTACCTCGAAAATCGTGACAAATTTTACTATAGGAATGGTGACTGTGGAGTGTAAAATGTAATTCTGTGAAAAAATACTGTTTTTTGGTGGATATTTTACGATTTTCTCGGTAAAAAATATATCTATGGACACGGAGACAAACATTCTATAAAAATTACCAGAAAAAAACGTAAAAATTACGTTTCGAAACGTAATCCGCGAAGGAAGTAAAATTCAATAAAAAGTGGGAGTCGAAATTGAAATTGTACGAATCGCCACGTAAATTCTACGATTTGTTCCGTAAAAATTAATCACCCGTCTGATGACTCACCGCTGTAGGGACAAGTCGTTCCGTAATTTTTCCCCAACGATTGAGAAATTTTACGGAACGGAACGTAGAAATAACTTATCAGCTTCATAAAAATTGTTGGTAATTAGATAACATAGCAACTTCTATTCATTCGGGATACTGATAGGTAAATATAAAGTTTTTATATTGATCTTGAAGTAATTCGACGTATATTGTGTAGGAACCTGGTTGCTATGAATGAATTTAACCTCCTTTGAGCTATCACACTTAATAATATGTATGTATGAGTATATGTATGAGTATACAACTCATGCAGATGTACGGGACTTCCCATTTTGCGCTTTCCCTTCTAAAAGCAGTTATGAAATTTTATTTATGAGGTATTCATATAAATTCAACGTGTAGTGAAGCAAGGTAGCGGAGGCAGTTTCTGATCAGTAGGTAGTACTTGATCACTCGGCTATTTATTTATTAAGTGCGAAGTTTGAGTTGAATTGATCAAGAAGGTAAAACCAACAGTGCAAAGAATAAAATCCCTGCTTTCGCTAGGGGTCTCAATTGTGGCCGTGGTACCACTGTAAACTGTCAAAAATAAATGGTAAAAGCGCGCGAACGCGGGAAACGGCCATTTTCGCCGTTTGCTTGTGGAATGAGCTAAGTGTGTACCTGAAGCTTCAGCACTCAAATTTTACCATGTAAGTACCGAATGATCATAAATATGATATAAATCTCAAGTTAAATCATAGGAGAACAACTCAGAATGATGAAAATNAATGGTAAAAGCGCGCGAACGCGGGAAACGGCCATTTTCGCCGTTTGCTTGTGGAATGAGCTAAGTGTGTACCTGAAGCTTCAGCACTCAAATTTTACCATGTAAGTACCGAATGATCATAAATATGATATAAATCTCAAGTTAAATCATAGGAGAACAACTCAGAATGATAAAAAATAGATAAAAAAATTATTTTCAATAATTAATATGGTGATCAATAACTGTCGCCTGAATTCTAACCTGTCGGTATTTGTTGATCGGAGGATTCATGAGTTGTCAGCTCGGATTAATTGAGGCCAACTGATATTTTTTTAAGAAAATGTCAGTTTAATAATCTGTCAATGTAAATATTCACCTTATCTTTCCCTTATGGTGGTAATTATCATTATTATAACGATGAAAATAGTATCGAAAAATGGTGGGATGCCACGAGTTGATTT